GACTGTGCAGCCAATGGCCCAACTGAAAACAGCCCTAACCCCCCAGGCCCTGCCCCAGCCAAGGCTGAAAACGAAGAGGCTGCGGCTTGTCCTGCCTGGGAACGTGGAGCCTGGCCTGAAGGAGCTGAGAGGAGCTCCCGGCCTGACACACTGCTCTCCCCTGAGCAGCCACTGTGTCCTGCAGGGGGCTCCGGGGGTCCATCCAGCAGTGCCTCTCCCGAGGTCGAAGCTGGGCCCCAGGGATGTGCCACTGAGCCCCGGCCCCATCGTGGGGAGCTCTCCCCATCCTTCCTGAACCCACCTCTGCCCCCATCCACAGATGATAGCGACCTCTCAACTGAGGAAGCTCGACTAGTAGGAAGAGGGGGGCGGCGTCGGGCAGGAGGGCCAGGGACCACGGGGGGCCCATGCCCTGTGACTGATGAGACACCCCCCACATCAGCCAGTGACTCAGGCTCCTCACAGTCAGATTCTGATGTCCCGCCAGAAACTGAGGAGTGCCCATCCATCACAGCTGAGGCAGCCCTCGACTCAGATGAAGACGGGGACTTCCTGCCTGTGGACAAAGCTGGGGGTGTCAGTGGTACTCACCACCCCAGGCCTGGCCACGACCCACCCCCTCTCCCACAGCCAGACCCCCGCCCATCCCCTCCCCGCCCTGATGTGTGCATGGCTGACCCCGAGGGGCTCAGCTCAGAGTCTGGGAGAGTAGAGAGGCTACGGGAGAAGGAGAAGGTTCAGGGGCGAGTAGGGCGCAGGGCCCCAGGCAAGGCCAAGCCAGCGTCCCCTGCACGGCGTCTGGATCTTCGGGGAAAACGCTCACCCACCCCTGGTAAAGGGCCTGCAGATCGAGCATCCCGGGCCCCACCCCGACCACGCAGCACTACAAGCCAGGTCACCCCAGCAGAGGAAAAGGATGGACACAGCCCCATGTCCAAAGGCCTAGTCAATGGACTCAAGGCAGGACCGAGTACGTATATCATGAAACGTGGCAGAGAGTGTGGGTTAGGGCTGGGTGTGGCTGGTCAGACTCCAGGAGTGGGAAAGAGGGGAAGGTTGCCAAAAGGGTTCCACTTTTCCTCTACAATGAATCCTGGCTTGTCTCTACAGTGGCCTTGAGTTCCAAGGGCGGCTCTGGTGCCCCTGTATATGTGGATCTCGCCTACATCCCGAATCATTGCAGTGGCAAGACTGCTGACCTTGACTTCTTCCGTCGAGTGCGTGCATCCTACTATGTGGTCAGTGGGAATGACCCTGCCAATGGAGAGCCAAGCCGGGCTGTGCTGGATGCCCTGCTGGAGGGCAAGGCCCAGTGGGGGGAGAATCTTCAGGTGAGTAGCAAAGGACACCAGGGAAGTAGTCTGGTCAAAGCTCACTCAAGAGGCAATAGTGGAACACAGTCCCTATTTATTAAAGGATGGGCCTTTTCTAAGGGCAGCAGGGCTGCTTCTGAGACCATCGGGTGCCCCTTCCCCCTCACCTACCTTCCCTTCATGTTCTCACATCAGGCATGTCTTATCTCCCTCCTAGGTGACTCTGATCCCTACTCATGACACGGAGGTGACTCGTGAGTGGTACCAACAAACTCACGAGCAGCAGCAGCAACTGAACGTCCTGGTCCTGGCTAGCAGCAGCACCGTGGTCATGCAGGATGAGTCCTTCCCTGCCTGCAAGATTGAGTTCTGAAAGAGCCGCCCTCCCTTCCCCAAGGATCCACTCCCCCAGCTCCTTTAGAGAATGGCTACTGCTGAGTCCTCTGGGGTTGAGGGACATGGGAGCTAGGGGGAGGGGAGGGAGATGTCTTGTTGTGGGGACTTGGGCTGGGCTAAGTGGGAGGGGTTGTCCCTCCCCGTCATCCATTCCTGAGAGGGGTCTCAAACCAAAGTTAACAGGGAGAGGATGGGGGAGGGGAAAAATTAGAATAAGATAGCATCTGATGCCTGAGAACCCTCTCCTAGCACTGTCAAATGCTGGTATTGGATGGGGACTGAGGATGGGTCTCAGAGAGCAACCTCCTCCCTCGTAGAGGGAGATTATATCCCCAACTCCAGGGACCTCTTTATCTCAATCTATTTATTTGGCATCCCAGGAAGGATTTCCAATAGTAATTTATGTGACCTGGGGGCAGGATACTGTCAGTGAGGTGCCCAGAGCTGCATCCTTTTCTCCATTTCCCATCCCCCATCTCCTCACCCACCAGGGTCTGAATTCTAGCAGGGGCCTGGGGGTATCCCACTGCTACACTGTTCTATTGCTTCCCTCAGTATCTGAATGTCTCAATTTAAAACTTGAAGCTCTTTAGACCAACAGACTGGTGAGAGGAGAAAGGAGCTTATCCCCCAGCCCCTGCTTTATACCATTCACATCCCAGGGCTGTGTCCAGACAGCACAAAAGGGCAAGGAGAGCCCAAGCCCCAATGCCAGAATTCTTTCAAACTCCCTGACTCTTTGAAGTTTTTACTCACCCCGTTTCAATTATCCTGATCCCTTCTCATCCCCTGCTTGGCTTCTGTGCATGTGGTCATCTGCTGTGGCCTGGTGTGTAATGGGTTAAAAATAAGCCACTGCCTGACATCCCAACATTTGACACCCCAGCAATGTGTGACTCCCCCAACATTCCACTATGCCATCCTGCAGCTGAAATGGGAACACTGGCTGCCTCTCCAAACCTGCTCTTGGACAGAGGATCTGGGAGGTGGAGGCCAGGCCAGAGGACTTAGGGAAAATGAGAGGGAGGAAGGAAAAAGGGAGAAGAAGCTGAGCCATAGCTTAACTCCTACAGAGTGAAATGAAAACGGGCTGAAAATACCACCCCAGGAGAGGACCTCACCCCAAGCAAGCCAGTGAGCAGCCCTGCCAGACTACTGCCAGACTGAGAAACCCAGAAGCTGGTAGTCATGTGGGCTTACCTTCTCTGCCAAGCGACTGGGAAACCAAAATGAGCCCACCTTGTGTTCTTCCTAGCTCCACCCTCCCCGTGCTGCTGTGCTCTGCTCCTCCCCACACTTCCCTGCTATAGTTCCCAGCTGCTGTAACGGAGCCACCTCCAACTCTAACAATAAACCCAGTTCATTGCAGATGATGTAGTGCCGCTTAGGCTTTTTCTGACTCCATACATGCTTAGTTACTGGGCCCCGGTTTCCACCTCTCTGCTTCAACCAGTCTTGAATTTATCTTGGAAGACTCCAATGCTTTGGATTACTGGAAACACTTGTGCCTGAGTATGGAGAATAGGAGCCTAGGGTGGGTACATACGTCTGGTTTGGGGGAAGGGAAGAGGGGCAGGGGGCCTCCTGGGGAGGGGATATGCATTCCATGGGGTCAAGAGTTAAGGACCAAACAACCAGGATCAGATACCCTGGACAGCCTCTTGGGCTAAAGAGGTAAGAAGCTGAAGGACCCTAAGAGATCCAGAGCCTAATGAGGTTGGAAACGACTCTCCTTGTGCAGTCAGGATTTCCGTGGAGTAAAATGGTCGACTTTTCTCCTCCATGGAAACCCTTTATAGTCCTAAGTATGTCAGAAGTGGCCAGGCTGAATGTGTATATTTGGGGAGGGGCATATTCTAGCCCTCCCACTGTTCTGGGCTCTCTCATGGTAAAGATGTCAAGGGAGCAGAGAAAGGGCATAACCCCTTTATATAAACTCCTCCTGACACTCCAGAGTGAAAAATTAACAGGATGATTCCAAGAACGTGGTGAGAAGGCATGTACCCTCTGGCACTTCACAGAGAGGGAAACTTTTTCCGGTCCCCCATCCAACACTCTACTTACTCAATAAAGACCTTTTGGGGACCAGACATGGTGGCTCACACCTGTAATCCCAGCACTTTGGGAGGCCAAGGCAGGCAGATCATCTGAGGTCAGGAGTTCGAGACCAGCCTGGCCAACATGGCGAAACCCTGTCTCTACTAAAAATACAAAAAAATTAACTGGGTGTGGTGATGGGCACCTGTAATCCTAGCTACTCAAGAGGCTAAGGCAGGAGAATCACTTGAATCCAGAAGGCGGCAGTTGCAGTGAGCTGAGATCACGCCACTGCACTCCAGCCTGGCGACAGAGCGAGACTCTGTCTCAAAAAAGAAAAAGAACAAACAACCCTTTTGAGATAGTGGGTTAACTGCTATAGGCACCTCTTGGGATGCCTGATCTCCGTTTTTTTGTTTTTTTGGTTTTTTTTTTGTTTTTTGTTTTTGTTTTTTTTTGAGACAGAGTCTCACTCTGTCGCCAGGCTGGAGTGCAGTGGTGCGATCTCAGCTCATTGCAACCTCTACCTCCTGGATTCAAGCAATTTCCCTGCCTCAGCCTCCTGAGTAGCTGGGATTACAGGCATGCGCCACCATGCCCGGCTAATTTTTATATGTTTAGTAGAGATGGAGTTTCACCACGTTGGCCAGGAAGGTCTCAATCTCTTGACCTCGTGATACACCCACCTTGGCCTCCCAAAGTGCTGGAATTACAGGTGTGAGCCACCGTGCCCAGCTGACCTCTATATTTTTATAGTCTATTTTTGGATGCCTGATCCCTGTATTTTTACAGCCCATTCCTGCTCAATTATAATGGCTTTTGACTGATTCAGATCAGTTATAGACACAATTGACTCACATGACTCACAGTCACATATATATATATACACACACACACACACATATATATATATATATATTTTTTTTGAGACAGAGTCTTGCTTTGTTGCCCAGGTTGGAGTGCATTGGTGTGATTTCAGCTTACTGCAACCTCCGCCTCCAGGGTTCAAGTGATTCTCCTGCCTCAGCCTCCCGAATAGCTGGGATTACAGGTGTCCACCACCATGCCTGGCTAATTTTTGTGTTTTTAGTAGAGACAAGGTTTCACGATGTTGGCCAGGGTGGTCTCCAACTCCTGACCTCACATGATCTGCCCGCCTTGGTCTCCCAAAGTGCTGGGATTACAGATATAAGCCACTGTGCCCAGCCTATATTCATTCTTGAATTCACAAGGACATCACCATCATCCATCACCATCATTCTCATTATTTCATATTTATTGAGCACTCATAATGTTCCGGCCCCTGACTCCAATGACCGTATTACCCCTCCTACCCACTCCCATTCCCATCCCTGGATCTTTGGAAAAAGCTTCATAATCATATCTGGCCCTCAGATACAATGATATAAGGACAAATTTCTTGGGGACCCTGGAGTGTTTGGTCTTTGGCCAGTCTGTCCCTGGCACAACTACAGAAATATATATATATATACACACACACACACACATATCTATATGTGTATATATATATTTATATTTATTTATTAAACCTTTGCTTGTATCTGTACAATACTGATCTCTGCTCATTGCTTAAAATAGAACCTGATTATCTCTACTACTACAGCATCTCCTAAGCCAAACAGCCCACCACAGAGGGAGGCCCAGTTTCACAGACTGGCTAAGAATCCTCTAGAGCATTTTAAGTAGTTGCTTTGAATTTTGTACAGCAGTTTAATACCTACTTTTCCCTAGAGCTATTGCCCAGAGGAACAGGACTGAGGCAGAAGGGGCACTTGGGGATGATATGGAAAGATCTATAAGGCAAGTCTAAAGATTTAGTGGCCATGACAGATGTTTGGGGAGGGGACTGTATTTTCCAGACATTTCAGATAGCCATCCCGGGCTCACCTGAGGAGTGCTGGCAAAGACAAGAGTCCCCCGAATGCACATATGGTCTAAGCATACCTTGAGAAGTCGTGACTATTTCCCCAGAAAAGTGAAGACCCTAGAGTCCCCTCTTTTGCATTTGCTGTCCCCAGATGGTGTCTTCAGCAGTGAAGCAGCATTTCCTTTAACAGTCTATGATTTCCTAGGATGCTCAGAGAAGGCTGGGTAATGAGAGACCAACCTACCCCAAGGAAATCCTATTCAAGTCTAATGGTTAGGTGAAGAGCCAATGGCTTCTTTGAACCTAAAACTGGCTCCTCCTTAAGCACAGCTCTGGCACAGGTATGCTTCATACCAAGAGAACTACTTCCCCAGACACTGCTGGTGAGAGCTGGCCAGTGAGTTAGCCAACAGAAAAGGTTGCTGGCTCAAATGGCTGGTATAGTGTGACACCACTAATGAGAAAATTAATCACATGTTGCTGGTGGAAGGGGTGAGTGCTGGTCATGGGCTAGAGACTGGCTCTGAGGGTTTGGATCACTAGATAGATGCTGGGCTTGAGGAATACCCTCTCCAGGCAGCTGATGGATCACCTCAGGGACCACCCAGGACTTCTAATTTATCTCCTCAGGGACTTCCTGGGCCTGCAGATCAATCTCCTCAGGGAACTCTTGGGATGGTTTATCAATCTCAGGGATGCCCTGAGATAACAGACTGATCGCAGAAGGCTCCTGGGCCAGCCTGCCAACCTCCACAGAGAACTCCTGGTATGGCTGGCTGACCTCCTCAGGGATCTCTTCAGCTGGGCTGCCAACTTCTACAGGGGTTTCCTGGACCAAGCCACCAACCCCTACGTGGGACCTATGGACCAGCTTGCCAGCCTCCACAGAGACCCCCTGGCATGGCTGGCTGACCTCCTCGGGGTTCTCCAGACATAGCTGGCAAACTTCCTCAGAGACTTTCTGGCACAGTTGGCTGGCCTTCTGGCATGGCTGGCTGATCTGAGGGACCTCCTGGCGTGTGTGGTTACCATTGTCATGGTTCTCCTGGCATTGCTGGCTGATGTCAGGGACCTCCTGACATGGCTGGCTGAGTGCCTCAGAAATGTCCTGGCATGACTGACTGATGTCAGGGACCTCCTGACATGGCTGGCTGACCTCCTCAGCCACCTCCTCGTATGGCTGGCTGGTTTCCACAGGTGGCACCTGTGGGGACTGATTTGGTTCAAAAATCTCTTGTTTCCCTTCTATGGAGAGCTCTTGTGCTCCATTCCCAGGGGTCTCCCGGAGCAGCCCAAGGCATTGATGTTCTTCAGTCACGTGTGAATTTAGGGAGGGTTGATCACTGAAGCCAAATTGGGAGTTACCATCTACTGTAGTAGGGGAAGAAGGACCAGCACTGGACACAGTGCTAGAAGGGCCACTGCTGTCTGTAAAGCAAAGTCAAGAGATCAAGTCAGAGAAGCTGGAAGAGTAGGCTGTACCCTGTGCAGATAGTTCAAATGTTAGAATGGTTGGCCTATGCTACTTACGTCTTGAGGGAAGAGTGTCTGAATTCTTCCTAAGTTAAGCAGAGACTCCTAAGTTTGCTTAGCTCAAGAACTGTCACCCTGGCCTAATGTATACTTTGAGAGTAACAATAAGGTACGTATAAGACTTCAGGAGAGAGTGCTAAGACCCACTTCATCTGGTTCTTTCACAAATACACTCCCATCAGAATTCCAAGTTCCCAAGGCCTCTCATTCCTACTTCGGAAGAATATGAATACTTTAGCCCAGTGGTTCATAATCAAAATCATGAAAAATTTTTTTTAAATGCTAATTTCCAGTTTTCAACCCCAGAGATTCTAATTCTATAGGTTTAGTGTAAAGGTGTAGCTTGGAGGAGGGAGGAGGATGAAGGCAATATAATTTTGTTGGAACACTCCCAGTTGATTCTGATGTACACCTTCTGTTAAGAATCATTCTTTAAAGCAATCAATGTATTTCTGGGGCAGAGGTAATCATTATTTATAGCCCAAACGATAAGTTGGCAGGAGAATGTAGAAAAACCATGTAAATCAGAACAATAGGAAAGAAAATGGTTTACCTGGCTGGGTGCGGTGGCTCACGCCTGTAATCCCAGCACTTTGGGAGGCCGAGGCAGGCAGATCACTTGAGGTCAGGAGTTCAAAACCAGCCTGGCCAACATGACGAAACCTTGTCTCTACTAAAAATACAAAAATTAGCCAGGCATAGTGGCGGCTGCCTGTAATCCCAACTACTCAGGAGGCTGAGGCAGGTGAATCACTCGAACCCCAGAGGTGGAGGTTGCAGTGAGCTGAAATCATGCCACTGTGCTCCAGCCTGGGTGATAAAGCAAGACTCCATCTCAGAAAAAAAAAAAAAAAAAGAAAATGGTTTACCCAAAAATGGAAGACGGCCATGGAATTTCTACATGGCAGTTCTTAACCTTTCTAGGGGTCAGTGGCCCCTTTGAGGTGCTAATGAAAGTCCAGGAAAAATGTACATAAGAATATTCACACTAATCTTTACATGTGATTCCTGAAGCTCATAGACTCTACCCTGAAACCACATCTATGGATCCAGGGTTAAGACTCTTGTAAGTCTTGGGACATACAATGAATGTTACAGGCTTGTGCAAATTATATACACAGAAAACATTAAAAAACTGATTTCCTAGATCCTGACAGTAGTGTAATAAAGACCTCAGAGTCTTCAATTACACAGTGGGATGATTCCTACTCCATCTGCTACTGCTTCATTGACCTCTAGTATGGGACTAACCTACTTCTCCCTTGGTAAAAATCATTTTTATTGATAATATTATAATGATATATTAAAGCACTATGGTATCAATAATGACAGATTCTGGGAAAAGGGGACATCGGAACATATTGCCATTGAAGGAAACCTTGAAAAGTTGGTAAACCTGAGCCTACAAAGGCTCAATCCATCATTGAGTTGAAGGTATGCTAGTTATCTCACTTCTGTAAAGAATCAAAGGAGGGGCCGGGGGCAGTGGCTCACGCCTGTAATCCCAGCACTTTGAGAGGCCGAGGCAGGCAGATCACAAGGTCAGGAGTTCGAGACCAGCCTGACCAATATAGTAAAACTCTGTCTCTACTAAAACTACAAAAAAAAAAAAAAAATTAGCTGGGCGTGGTGGCACATGCCTGTAATCCCAGCTACTCAGGAGGCTGAGGCAGGAGAATCACTTGAACCCCAGAGGCAGAGGTTGTAGTGAGCTGAGATCACACCATTGCACTCCAGCCTGGATGACAGAGCAAGACTCCACCTCAAAAAAAAAATAATAATCAAAAGAGGCATGCTTCAAGCAGAATAAGAGGCCAGGTGCAGTGGCTCACGCCTGTAATCCCAGCACTTTGAGCCGGTGGATCACTTGAGATCAGGACTTCGAGACCATCCTGACCAACATGGCGAAACCCCGTCACTACTAAAAATATAAAAATTAACCAGGTGTGGTGTCATGTGCCTATAATCCCAGTTACTCGGGAGGCTGAGGCAAGAGAATCACTTGAGCCCGGGATGTGGAGGTTGCTGTGAGTCGAGATCACGCCACTGTACTCCAGCCTGGACCAAGACTTCGTCTCAAAAAAAAAAAAAAAAAAGAGAAGATCATGGTTTTGAACCAACAAGCCTTTAAGAGATGTGGAGCCTATTTCTGGTGCAGATATACAGACCCGAAAGAAGATGTTTACCAGTGAGGCTACACACCTGATACTGAGTCAAAAATCTGATACTAGATGGAAAAAAAGAAAAAGAAAACATGTAAGCTGAGCTTTAGCCAAGTAAAGAAGTAGCCTTAATATCCTGCTAGTGGTCTGATTCAGGCAAATCAAAAAGGTCAAACAGAAACAGAAGAGGGAGAAGGGTAAGATTTCCAGGGGCACAGAACTCATAAACCCTCCAGGAAACAGGTAAAAAGAGCAATGGCAAGGTGAGTGTAGGATAATCTGAAATTCAGGGGAGGAATTCTTGGTGCCAAAGAGGAAAGTTTCTTCTTCAAACAGGGTGCCAGAAAAAGGGCAAAATTCTACAACTGTTAAGTCCAATGCTGAATGAAGTAAGAATCTTTACTTTGGTCCTATCCAAGTAAAATAATGAAAGGCATGTTTGATTTCAGTTATTCCCCAGAGGCAGGATGATACTTCACCAGTGCCTCTGGCCCACATCCCCACCTCCAATTACCACCAGTAGCGCCTCCTCTCTATGGTCACTCTAACAATTCTGTGTGGCTCCACTGTTCACATTGTTACCAAAAACAACTAGTGATAGATTATAGATAATAAACAAGAGATGGGAAAAAGCAGCACCTCAACTTAAACTAAAAACTGAAAACAGACAACAGAGAGAAGGGTCATGTAAAAATAAGTAGCAGATTCTAGTCTCTCCTGCTCCCAGCTTTTTCTGTTTGTTTGTTTGTTTGTTTGTTGTTTTTGAAACAGAGTCTCACTCTGTCCCCCAGGCTGGAGTGCAGTGGCACCATCTCGGCTCACTGCAAGCTCTGCCTCCCGGGTTCATGGCCGAGTTCTCCGTGCCTCAGCCTCCGAGTAGCTTTGGCGACTTACCAGCGTGCCCCACCACCACGCACCGCTAATTTTTTGTATTTTTAGTAGAGATGGGGTTTCACCGTGTTAGCCAGGATGGTCTTGATCTCCTGACCTCGTGATCCACCTGCCTTGGCCTCCCAAAGTACTGGGATTACAGGCGTGAGCCACTGGGCCCGGCCTCCTGCTCCCAGCTTTTCTAAATATCTAAGTTGTCTGCTAGTCATCTTTACCAGAGAAAGCTGTAGAGATCAAATAGGGATCAAAGGAGAATGAAGTCTCCATTCTTTCTTCCCCAAAGGGCCCTTTGAGTAATCCCAGCTACTCAGGAGGCTGAGGCAGGAGACTCGCTTGAACCCGGGAAGCAGAGGTTGCGGAGAGCCAAGATCGTGCCTGGGCAACAAGAGCGAAATTCCATCTCTCAAAAAAGAAAAAAAAAATTATTCCTAATACTGCAGAAAAGCTTCCCTCCAATGAAATAGAAGGAACATGGAGAACAGAGGTAAAGAGAGAATAAACAGATTCTCCTTTCATCTTAGAAATGGCAGATGAGACTGCTTCCCAGAATGGATACCCCTGGTCGTTCAACCCTCACCTTCTTTTACCTCATGCAACAGGCCCCTCATTCACCAATCACTCCATTCTTCTTGACTTTTGTCTAGGCAGTTCCAAAAGGATTACTTACACCAAGGGGGCTTCTCAGAGCGCTGCTGGAGTTGCAGGGGAGGTGAATGAAGAGTACGTGGTGGAGAAAATGGGTTATCTAAGGCCTGGCTGCTGTGCATGGAATCAAAGAGGGCTGGAAAAGAGGTAGGGTGAAGGGAGAGGGAAGAAAAAAAGACATTTGAGGAAGAATCCAGGAGCCATAGGTTCTTAACATAAGTCAAAGCCAACTTACCCTTCCTTGGCTGAGAAATAGCATTTCCTGGGGACCCTTCAACCAAACCATTTTCAATTTTTTAAACTTTATATTATGAACATTTCAAACATATATTTTTTAAAAGTAGTTGAAAGACTGGTGCCGCCAATGCCCATATACCCGTCTCCTAGATTTAACACATTGACATTTTTGCCATACTTGTTTCATCTATTTCTGCATGCTAAAGTGTTTTAAAATAAATGATAGACATTATGAAACATGTCACCTCTAAATACTTCAAAATGCATCTCTAAAATATAAGAAATGGCTGGATGCAGTAGCTCATGCCTGTAATCCCAGCACTTTAGGAGGCTGAGGCAGGTGGATCACTTGAGGCCAGGAGTTCGAGACCAGACTGGCCAACATGGCAAAACCCCATCTCTACTAAAAATACAAAAATGAGCCGGCATGGTGGCACATGCCTGTAATCCCAGCTATTCGGGAGGCTGAGGCTTAAGAATGGCTTGAACCTGGGAGGCAGAGGTTGCAGTGAGCTGAGATTTCACCACTGCACTCCAGCCTGGGGCACAGAATGAAACTCTGTCTCAAGAATAATAATAATAATAAAATATAAGAATTTTTTCCAGCTGGGTGTGGTGGCTCATGCCTGTAAACCAGCACTTTGGGAGGCCAAGGTGGATGGATCACTTGAAGCCAGGAGTTCAAGACCAGTCTGGTCAACATGGAGAAACCATGTTTAGGTCTCTACTAAAAATATAAAAATTAAGGCCAGGCGCAGTGGCTCACACCTGTAATCCCAGCACTTTAGGCAGCTGAGGCAGGCAGATCACGAGGTCAGGAGTTCAAAGACCAGCCTGACCAACATGGTGAAACCCTGTCTCTACTAAAAATAAAAAATTAGCTGGGTGTAGTGGTGCATGCCTGTAATCCCAGCTATTTAGGAGGCTGACGCAGGAGAATCGCTTGAACCCGGGAAGCAGAGATTGCAGTGAGCCAAGATCACATCATTGCACTCCAGCCTAGGCGATAGAGCAAGACTCCTGTCTCCAAAAAAAAAAAAAAAAAAAGAAAAAGAAAAAAAATTAGCTGGGTGTCGGTGTAGGCATGACTGTAACCCCAGCTACTTGGGAGGCTGAGGCACGAGGATCACTTGAACCAGGAGGCAGAAGTTGTACAGTGAGCAGAGATTGTGGCCACTGCACTCCACCAAGGGCAAACAGAGAGACTCTATCTCAAAAAAAAAAAAAAAAAAAACAAAAAAAAAAACAAGGAAAGATATACATACAAAGAATTTTTCCAACATAGCCAAACACCATTAACAACGCTAACAAAAATTAAAAAATTATTCCCTAGTATTATTCAATATCCAGTCCCATATTCAAAATTTCCAATTATTCCCCCAAATGTCATTTATAAAAGCATCCAAACATGAACCATGCACTGCATCTTATGTCTTTGAAGGCCTCTTTAATCTAGAATAGTGCAGCCTCTCCTTTTTTTCTTTTTTTTTTTCTTTTTTTTATTATTATTTTATTTTTTGAGACGGAGTCTCGCTCTGTCCCCAGGCTGGAGTGCAGTGGCGGGATCTCAGCTCACTGCAAGCTCCGCCTCCCGGGTTCAGCGCATTCTCCTGCCTCAGCCTCCGCCGAGTAGCTGAGACTACAGGCGGCCGCGCCACCTCGCCCGGCTACTTTTTGTATTTTTTACTGTAGAGACGGGTTCACCCCCTGTTAGCCAGGATGGTCTCCAATCTGACCTGACTCGTGATCTGCCGCGTCTCCGGCCTGCCCAAAGTGCTGGGATTACAGGCTTGAGCCACAGCCGCGCCTGGCTCCTTTTTTTC